AGCTTTAAACTCACTATGTAGCCCAGGCTGCTCTTAAACTCATGGTGATCCTCCTGTCTCAGCCTCCCAAGTGCTGAGATTACAGGAATGCCACACCATGCCCACCTTATTTCACTTTACATTCACCCAAGATCCAAGATAGTATTATTTTCTGTTTTTTTTTTTTTTTTACTTTCTTCATTCTTTCTTTTCTTCACTAAAATCTCTCCTGCTCAGTTGAGACCACCGAGGCAGACAGAGGTTTTTCTCTCCTAGGTGGGCAGGGGTCTTGTTCGGAGACCTGACATCCCTGTGTGCTGTGTTACAGAGAAAGAACAGGGGTACGGGGTGCAGTTTCTCAGGACTTCTTCAGGTGTGACTAGCTGCAGGGCATCCTAGAAAAGAGAGACAGAAAGAAATAAATGAAGGAGGTGAGAGGTTGGTGGCAGATCCGGGCGGGGCGACGGAGTGCTAGGAGCATGATGATCTTTGGTTCTTTCTTTTCTTTTTTGGTATCAGGAATCGAACTCAGGGCCTTGCACTTGCCAGGGGGGTGCTTATGCCACTGCGCTATATCCTCAGCCCCGATCTTTGGTTCTTGCTACGGGTCAGCTCGAGATTCCTGCAGGACAGCGGTGTAATGGGCCCTCAGGAAGAGCTGTCTGGATACTATGGATCGGATCTGTCCTGGATGAAATCTGTCAGGAGTCTTACTGTGCAAGGTCCAAACCTAAGGGCAGAAAGACCGGGAGCAGGGGCCCCAGCGTGGGGAGAAGCCAGGGTGTCCAGTCTCTTCGGATGAGGCCTCCTCCCCACCCCATAGTGAAGCCACCCCTGCCTGTTTTCCAAGCCGGGAGGCCTGGTCCCGGAGACTGGGGACTGCCTGATGGATAAAGCCGACCTGCTGACGTAGAAACAGCGTTCCTCTCTGAGGAAGACGCAGGTAGCTCCATTTTCCTGCAGCGAGTAGATCCAGGGCGCGGCGGTGCTGGAGGCCACCCTGCAGCTCCCGTGGCCACGCCTGCGGAGGTACCACGGCCCACTAGTGGGGTCTGAGTCCTGGGGCTCGCGGCCGCCATCTGAGAGGGGTCTGCACAGGGTCTGGGAGCTCAGCTCTCCCAGGTGCTATCTACATCTATTTTGGGGGCCAGGAATACCAGGGTACCTTTTCCAGTCCAGTTTGTGGGCTGACAGAGGTAAGTGGAGGTTCCGCACAGCCAGAAGACCCGAATGTGTTTAGGCAGAAAACATTATGCATCAATAAAGTTTTTTTTTTTTTTTTTTGGTCTTAGAACCCTCTTTTTGCCGTTGTCCATGCCGGTGGTGAGTACAGCCCCTGTAGGAAGGGGAGCGGAGCCTGGCTGGTCCTCTCGCATGGGTCCTGGAGTTTTATCCTGCCAGTGTAAGGTAAGTCTCCGTGTCCCCACCACGGTGTTTGGCCAGCGAATGTGAGTCAGCTGCTGGAGGAGCCCGCAGTGGAAACCTGAGATGTGAAGTTGGTGGGGGGAGTGGAACTGGGAGTCTATGTTTATGAGTTTGTTGTTTCTATGCTTGGGAGTCCTGACATTCTCAGGAGGACTGACCCAAGTGCTGTGTTCATGTGGTCACGAGGAAGGCGGAGGTTTGTTTTTTTATTTTGTTTTGTTTGTTTTTCTTCCCATACCAGGAGTCGAACTCATGACCTTGCGCTTGCCAGGCAGGTGCTGTGCCGCTAAGCTAAATCCCCAGGTCCTGGAAGGCAGAGGTTTAAAGTAAAGTTGCATTTAGAGGGGGTAAGGCTCCTAGGGGTGTTGGGGGGAGCCCCCTCCGGAGACGCACAGGGTGGCCTATGGAAAGAGTTTTATGCCTGCGGCTGTCGGTCCTGTGATGTGAGGGTGCTTTGGTGCGCCAGGGCCCATGAGAACGGCGTCGCTGTAGGCCTCGGCTTCCCAAGTGTGGGCCTGGAAAGTGGGAAACGAGACGGACTCAGCCGTGGCCCACACTGAGCGGGGGAGAGGTGGACCCTCGGTGGAGGAGGCGGGAGCAGAGGCAAATGCAGCCATCATGTGCCCGGGATGGTTGGGAGTGGTGTAGTAGGTTTATACTCTTATTGAGGCCGGGTTTATACTCCTATTGAGGTAGGAGCGCCAGGGAACTAGCTGGGCCTAGGGCTGCACCTGGGTGTTTGGGGCCGGGATGTGTGTGTCATTCTAGAGCAGGAGATAGAAGACGCCCAGCGGGGCGAGTAGGAGCCCGCTCCGCAGGAGGAAGTGAGGGCCAGAAGGCTCCCTCGGGGAAGCCCCGCTCAGGCAGAGCAGTGGGGGTGCAGGTGTGGGGGCGTATTGAGGACACTGCCCGAGAGTGCACAGGGCGGCGAGTATCAGCCTCCCCGGAAGGAGGAAGACAGCTGAGAAGAGGAGCCTTCTCCTGGTGCTCCAGTCCGCTGGGGCCGCGGAAGCCAGGGTTGGGGCGAAGAAGACAGCCAGGGCATGAACGTGAGGAGGAGCGGGCCGGCAGCACACGGGGTGAAGCCAGCAGAGAACGGGTAGGAAAGTGAAAAGACGGCCCCCTCTGGGGAGAAGTCTCCCGAGGGTCGCTTCCAGGGGTGCTGCAGGGGCCCAGGAGGAAGGAGCGGCCATAAAGCAGCTGGCAGGGGCTGTGGCTGGTGGGTTCTTGGGGGGTTGGGGTCGGGGGTGCCCTGAGTCCGAGGAGGGTGGCAGGGAGCAGGGACATCCCATCTTTTTGTAGTTGTAGGGGGAGCTTTGTGAATTGGGCCCTGATTAGGTCATTGGCCCCGGTGACCTGTTTCAGCAGAGCCTTCCGGGAAGGCGCTGAGGTGAGGGCCGGGAGTGAGCCCCCGAGGGGCTCATAGCCCAAGTAGAAGCTCTTGTGGAGGGAGGAGGCCTGTGATGAGCCCGGGAGGCAGGAAGGAGATATATTCCGTGGTCCAGGAACTACATTTCTGAGGTGGGGAGTGTCCGGTATTGGGAATGTTCTCCTGCGGCATAGTTGGGGTGATGCCTGTCGGGGGGATGTGTTGGCCCTGGCAGGTGGGTGGGTGCTGCTGGAGGCAGCGGCCTGTTTAGCTGTCTGGCCTGTGGAAGAGTTTCCCTGTGCTCTGTGGGTGTTACGGTCCCTTGCGGTGAGTCACTCCGGCCTTGCGGGCAGGCGGGGCCTCTGGAGAGCCCTCGTTAGCTGTGCACTGGTGACGGAGGTGCCCCTGGCCCTGAGAAAGCCTCTTCCGGCCCGTATTGCTGCCTTGCTGTGAAGGATGTGGAAAGTGTATTTTGCGCCTGCGTAGATGTCAAGCTTGCTTTCTTTTCCCAGGGCTTGGGCTCGGGTCAGAGCTGAGTTTGGTCTGTTGTGAGGTGATGTGTGGGGAGAGCTTGGGCCCCAGTTATTGTGTCAGCTGTAACGATCCCCTGTCCCGCTCTCGCTGCAGGAGCAGCGGAGGCTGTGTGAGAACCGGCGGCTATGAGCCAGGTGTGCTGTGGGAAGGGCTGAGGGCCAGCAGAGGGGCCCGGTGTGCCAGTGCATGAGGGGCGGGCAGTTGTGCCCCCGAGCGGGATGTCCACTGTCTTTCATCTGTGTGAGTGGGATGGGGGGCTGGAGTGAGGAGGGGAGAGCAGGAGGGCGGTGGGCATGGGGCGGTACTGGGGATCGTTAGCGTACTGGACAGTTTTGTTCAGATGTCTCTCCCGAGCGTGCGATGTGGCAGGTCCATGGCCAGGAGAGCGTGGGAAAGCATGTAGGCCTGCAGCTCAGGAGCAGGGAGTCTTGGGAGGCCGAGATATGGTGGTGCCATTAACCCCCACAATGGAAATGTCAGCCAAAAGGAGCTGGCCCGCAAAAGAAGGGTGGGCGGAATGGGTTACCGCCATGTCAGGTAGGCATGAAACAGTCTTACCTTCCACCTCAAGACTTACCCCGACGTTCGGCGGCTGTGACGGTCCAGGGAGCACCCAGGAACTTAGGGGTGTGTCAGTTGGAGGCCCAACTGACAAGCTCAGAGAGAACCGGGTTGTCCTGTGGGGTGCCCTGGGAGTGGACCCCTGTAGCAACCCTGGAGGCACAGGGCAGTCTGACTTCCAGTGAGGACTCCCATACGTGGGACGAGGCTTGGAGGGAGCTCGGGGTTGGGGCACTCTTTTGCCCATTGGTTGACTCTTGATGCTTAAAACAGGGTCCTCAAAGGATGGGTTCCCCTTTGTGTCCCTGGATGTTTGGGTGGTGTCCTGCTTGAATTTTGGGTTTCTTATGGTGGAGGTAAGTCACCACAAGTCAGAGACGTATTGCTGGTGGGCAGCCTCATATTGGTTGTTGTAGACTTTAAAGGCCTAGGAAATTAATTCTTGTTGCGGGGTCTGAGGGCCTGTCTCAATTTTTTGGAGTTTTTTGTGAATGTCAGGAGCTGATTGGGTGAGAAAATGCATATTGAAAATCAGTTGTCCTTCTGAACGTTCTGGATTGAATGTAGTATACTTTCTTAGGGTGACTGCCAGTCAGGACATAAATTAAACCAGATTTTCATCCTCTTTTTGAGTAATCTCCTTAAGTTTGTCATAACCGACGCACTTGTGGGCTGCTTTTTTAAATCCCTCTATGAGGCAAGTGATCGTGTAATCTCTTGTCCTCTGAGTGGGCAGGTTCTCTCCTTATCCCACGCCTCAGGGGAGAGGGTAGACGTGAGGATGACACTGATGGCATCACAAGAAAGGTCATAGGTGTGAGCTAGGTGCTGAAACTCTTTGAAGTAGAACAAGGGTCAGCGAGAAAGGAGCCAAAATGTCGGGCAGTGTGAGAGAGATGAGGGAGGGCAAAGGGTACATGGACCTGGACAGTGCTCTCTGCACCAGTGACCTCGCAGAGGGGGAGGTGGCAGAGAGGTTTAGGAGCCAAAGAAGGGCCAAAGTGGTGTGAGAGGGGGTGGTGTGAGGTGGGTGTGGTGGGAGAGTGTGGGATGTGGTGTCCAGGAGACATAGGGGGAGTGGGGTGAGGCTGGGAAGCTGAAGAGGGTGGCAGTTGAGCTGCAGCCAGAGAGCCCACAGGGAGGAGGAGAGTGGCGGGCAGAGGAGGGCCAGTGGAGGGTGAGGGAAGAGGGGTCAGCAGTGAGGCCCACTGGTAGCCAGGAGGGCACAGAGAAGGAGCAGGTGGGCGTGTGGAAATGAGTTCAGCGGGGTCGCAGGACGTGCAGAGGGAGGGGAGTCCATGGAGAGCAAAACATGCCTGGACATAGGGACCTCAGACCATTTTCTGTGACATGGCGTGGATACGTTGCAAGCTGCAGCTTGCAGCTTGCAACGTATCCACGCCATGTTACAGAAATGAATGAGATGTTTTGGCTTCAGGTCAAGGGTAAGGTGGAGGGTTTGAAATTTCTGAGAACACACACCAGGGAAATGAGGCAGGAAGGGAGGGTGGCTTTAGACACCAGCCAAACAGAGGTGATGCAAGAAAGAGAAGGGACGTCTCCAGTCGGTTTCCTTTGGCCAAGGGAGTTGATGAGCCACACAGCCAGGCGTCCCCAGAGCTGGGTGGCCATCAGAGAGTCAGACCCCCAGGCGTGAGTGTGGCCAGTACCAGGTTTTTGGAGCACAACCCAGGCAGGGTCTAGAAAGCCACTTAGAGCAAAGGGGAGAGTAGAGACAAGGGACAGAAACAGGAGGAGGTGAAAGGATGTAGATGACACCAACCTGAAGAGGAGACCGAGACTAGCAGCAAGTTGTGGTGAGGAAGGGCCAGAGGTCGGATGTTAAAAGCAATCTCGGTGTGCCCCGTGGGGATCGGGAGAGGGAGATCGGACCCTCCTAGGAGGGGAGCTCGACCTCCTGCGTTTTGACACCGGATGTTAGGGTAAACCAAGGCACAATTGAGACCACCGAGGCAGGCAGAGTTTAAGCAATGTGTGAGGATTTATTACAGACTGGGTGCAGCTGGGCAAATGGCAGGAAGACCACTGGCCCCAAGCAAAGGGCAAGAGCATATTTCACAGGGGAGTTTAGGTAGGGGAAGGGGGCATTGCTGTGGGGGGTACACCATTTTGGGTCTCTGAGTAGGGTGCCTGGCACTGGCTGATACGGCGGTGTTGTTGTGAGCACTCCCTCACAACTTTTGAGGGCGTGCTGACAGGCACAGCACGTCTCTTGGTTTTTGCAAATCAGTTCTCTGCAGGTTGAGCTGCATGGGGCAGCTGCCAGCTTCTCGTTAATGCTATGCACCTGCAGGTGTGAAGATCGGATCTGCTTGGGGGGTTTCCCTCTCCTAGCTGGGTGGGGGTCTAGTTCCAAGACCTGACACCTCACTTTAGAACTCCCTTTTCAAGTTGGACTGTGAACTCTTCCTGTTCCTCTCCCTTCCCCTCCCCTCCCTCTCCTCTCCTTTCTCCCTCTTTTCTCTTTTCCTCCCCTTCCCCCTTCCCTTCCCTTAAATTCATTATTAGTAGTATTCACCAGTGGCTCTGATTCTTTCTATAATAACATTTGGAGCCAGGGAACGCCAACACCCTGCCTTTCTGTAACGTGATCGATCTCTTGGCAGCCCCAGTGAGCCCTTTCTACCCTCCCATGGCTTCTGTCCAATCAGAAGAGCCTCTGCTCGTGGCCTCCACCCATTGGGAGGTCAGCAAGAGCCTCTGCTGCCACTCCACCCAATGAGAAGTCAGCGCGTGCGCTGGCGCGGTGGAGCTCCCAGGCCCCAGGGGCAGCGTGTGGCCGCAGACCGCTCCAGCAGTGTTCTGCTTACCACGAGCTCTAGCGCAGCTCAGAGCTGTCGCGAGGCTGCAGTTTCCGTTCTGGCTCCCTCGGGGGAGGCCTGGGCCCTCCTGCAGGGGCAGCTTCCCGTCCTCCACCTTGTCCTTCTCAATTCTCTGCTCTCATGGTCACGTCATTAAATGAATGGCTTTCAGATGTCTCTCTCCTCGGCTCCTTATCACCTTTGTACTTGTGAGGTAATGAGCGCTGAACTTCCCTCCCCCAGAGAATGCTATGCTGTGTCTCTAGCCCTTTTTGTTTTGAGACGGGGTCTTGTAACGTTTCCTAGGCTGGCCTTGAATTTACAATCCTCCTGCCTCAGCCTCCCAGGTAGCAGATGGAGGTTATCCGCGTGGCTTCCTGGCTGTTTCTTACAGAAGCTTCTCCCCAGGTTTCCCGCCTCGTGTGCTCTCGCGCTGACGCAGCACTCAGGCCTTCTCCTAAAACTGCAACGGGGGCCCCAGACTTTTTGATTTTGTCTGGAAAGCATGTAACAAAAAAAATTTTTTTTTAAATTTAAAATTAAAACAAAGCAAAAAACTGAGGCTGGAATAAGAACCCGGGCCCTGCACGCAGCGATGGCAGCTCTTTCTGGAGCCTCCCCATTCGGGCTGCTCCTCATGTCAGATCTCAATCTTCGGTGCCTGATCGGGCCCTCTCAGATATGGAAATGAAACGCCGCCTTCCAGCGTCTCTGAAATAGAGCTGCAGGGCAGATTCCGCAGCGCCCTGACTTGGACAAAGTGGGCTCCTAAATCACAGCTGCAGCGGGCTATGGTTGCGCCCGGCTCCTCCTTTAGTGGTAGATTTTAATTATTTAAATGGTTTTTCCACCCCCTCTCCCTTAATTTTAATTAACTGAGGGTATTGACCTGATATTTATTTTTTTTCTTCTGTTGTTTCCCAATGCTTGCGTTTTCCCCTGGTAGTTCTGACAGACCATCTGGCAAAATTTTGCTAGCTTTACAGCAACGCTATGCTATTTTCCCCCTCTCTCTGTTTTTAAAATTATGCAAATGATACACAAATAAATTATCATTGCAAATGGTTCAAACGGTACAAAAATATGTGGGGGAGGCTCCAGCCCCCTGCTTCCCATTTCTAATTCCTCCCTGGAAGAGGCTGCCATGGAGACAATTTGATTCGTGTCTTTTATTTCTTTTCCTGTGCACCTGTATCACTGGCACATGCACTTAACAAAAAGGGTCTGCAGTGTGCGGTTCAGGCTGTCCTTGAGATCACTTTGTAGCCCAGGCTGGTTTTGAACTCACAACAATCCTCCTGTCTCAGCCTCCCAGAGTGCTGGGATTACAGGCATGCACCACCATACCTGGCTAATTCATTTTTTAAAAAATCATGTTAAAACACACATGTTGAACTCAGTCTTTTTTTTTTTTTTTTCTAGTACTGAGGATTGAACTTAGGGCCTTTGCACTGAGCTATATCCCCAGCCCTCTTCAGTTTTTGTTAATTTGTTTTGAGACAGGCTCTTGCTAAGTAGCTAAATTGCCCAGATTGAACTCTAACTTTTGGCCTTCCCACCTCAGCTTCCCAAAGTATGGAGATTACAGCTGGGTGACCCCATACCTGGCTCACCTCAGTCTTTTCATGGCTGAATTGTTCTCTATGGACAAATATACCATCAGTTTTTATCACTCACCTATTGCAGAATGCTTTTCCACACAGTAATACCTTTGTGTCTGTGTGCATTCAGCATCTGTCTGTAGAATATATTATCTAGAAGCAGACAGGTAGGGTTAGAGGGACCCTTAGAAGGCACACTTACTGAGGGCAGAGGTTTAAACACAGGTCTGTCTCCTACACTGAAAACACAGTGTCTAAATTAGGCCCCGGCACATTCAAAAATATTTGTTAGGTTACCTAAAATAATATAACATTTTTAATGAGCTGGAGACATAGCTCAGTGGCAGAGAGCTTGCCTAATATGCAAAAGGCCCTGGTTTTGATCTCTAGTACTGCGGGAGATGAGACAAGGCATGTTTTACTTTAATATATGATTAAAAGCATTGGATAAAATGTAACACAATTCCTGATTTCAGAGCAAGAGTTAAAACAAAGTCTTAATATCCTAAAAATAGAAGAAAGCATCTTAATTTAATAAAGAGAATATACAGAAAAGAAAAAGAAAAAGGAACATGACTAATGACAGATTTCATGGTGAAATAGAGGCATTCTCGGGAAAATCAGGACCAAAGCTGCAGCTTAGTAATCAGTCACGCTAGTAAACC